TTATTAGAGAGGGGAATGAGCACAGCGTCTACGAAGACAACATGTTGAGTAGATGCAACAAACGTCTAACAAAACAAATATGTGGTGCCTAATCTGCTAATTGGCTGCAAACGATCCTTAAAATTTTCTTCGTTTATAAATGTCCAGATTATACAACACAACTCTCAGCATGTCCAGGAAAAATTAGGTATGCAAAAAATAAATAGTCCTATTAGAAAGCCAGCATTCAATAATATTGTTGTCCATTTAAATCCAAATAAATTTTTGTACACTGCTTAAGGGCGAATTAAAAAAAACCTCTCGTGTAAAATTTACCTTTTGACGCTTACGATAAAATCGCAAATATTTGAATATTCCAATTTACAAATGCATTTTATGAAAAAAAAAAAAAATAAATCTAAAACTCTTCGCATATTTTATCACCTATAATTTTTTCTTACAATCTTCAGAGATTCCTCATCGCCAATGGCGCGCAGCGGCAAAGCTTTAAGTGAAAACGATATCTACGCACAATTGCCTGAAAATTCAGAAGAACGCAGTGGACGTTTGGTAGACATTGCTGTGCAAAATGCTGCCGAGTTTCTGGGCTCGCACAGTCTGGAAATGAAAATTCCCGCTGAGGCTACACAGGAAATGGCACGTGCCCTTGATGAGGGTAAGTAAGATATCATACAGAAACGCTACTTATACTAAGCAGTGGAAACAATGCAATTAAATTGCCGTATTGAAAATAATCAAAAATGCATTCGCATGTAACTCATACGCCTTGCTATGCACGCAAACTTCTTACTCCTTTGCCGTTTAGTTACTCATACGCCATCGCATCAATATAATATATTATATCGACATGCTTTTAAATATTATTTTATATAAAATGTTTTCTCTATTTTCTAGGCCGCGGCAAATTGAAGAAAATGATGGGTCCCATTGCCCTCGCTATTGGCGCTAAACTGTTCACTGTTGTTCCCCTTGTGCTCGGCGCTTTGGCGCTGCTCACCACAAAGGCTGTGATTGTTGCCAAGATTGCTTTGTTGTTGGCTCTGCTAGTTAGCGGCTCACGTTTCTTCGGCGGTTTGGGCAGTAAATTCAGTGGCGCTCTTGGCGGTGGCTACAATGCTGCTAGTTGGTCACCAAGCAACACTGGTGGGTGGTCATCGGGAGCTGCCTCTTCATATCCTTATGCGCGCAGCTTGGATGCCCAACAATTGGCATACGCAGGACAAGCGCCCGCTGAGGAAGAGCAACAACTAGCACAGGAGCAGCAATAATCTTCTACGGCAGCAGATGTGTAGCGATTATGTTGCATAAGAAATGCCAAAAATGTGCCTTTGTTAAAGATTACCTAATACCAATTGTGTTTATGCTTATTTTGTATATAGTTGTAAGTAATTTATTAAAAAGAAGTAATAAGTTAAATAATTTACATAACTGATTTTAATTGCTAATGCACTTGAGTATTTATTTTCTGCACAAATTTCATTTTAGTATTCAATCAATGACAACGAAAAAGTATTTTTACACTAAATTTCATAATTCACCGAAGAACAAGTAGTAACAAAATTGTAAATTTTCGTAGTCATAGTATGTAATTTATTTTGATGTACGCATTTAAAATAAAAATGGTGGTGTTTTTTACCCAACATATAATACAAATGTACAAAGTTTAGCGAATAAAGATCGAACTAATGTATTATACTTGAAAGTGATTTTCAATTGAAATATCTTATAAAATTTAAGATATGCTGTCATCCCTCACCAGTGGGGTATATAGAATTTTGATTAAGGGAGGTGACAACTTGTCAAATAGTTCAATTGGCTATACATCTACACCCGCCAGTAATATGAGGTTCCGAGTATTTAAATAACCGGTTCTGTCGAGTCCGGCTCCAAAGAGAACCGGGAATTTGAACGCTTACGGTACTCAAAAAAGTGGAGGCGGAAATAGGTCATATCGAAATAGCATGACAAAGGATTTTAAAAAGTTTTTACAAAAATTAATTTTTTTTTATTTTTGTTGTAATGTAATGAAAATAAATAAATATACGTTTATTCATTTGTTGATTTTTGTGTTACAAAATTGTATAGAAATAAAATAAATGAAAGTAAAACTAGTATAGCATTGAATTCAAAGAAAAAAAATGTGTATGTAGGTCAACTCAGAACTCCATATTACGTAAACAAACGGAATTTCAAAACCATAGCATTAAAAATAACCAAGCTGATGTAAGTCGGCTAGATCTGGTATATGGCGGCTACGTGATATAGCACCTCAAAACGAGAATTTTCATAGATAAACTCAGAACTCTATAGTTCATATCTAAACCAAATTTCAAGCCATACATTTTTACCCATAGTGCAATGTACGCTTCGTTTTTCAGTTTTTTCTTTTTATGCCAAAACTATCAACTTATTGCCCATATTGCAGTTTTTTGCCCATATTGCAATTTTGATTCCGTAGGATCCGTTTTCTGTTCCTTTGGAATGGTTTTTCAGTTCTTTTTACTTTTTTTTTGGTTATTCTATGATCATTTCTATTAAAGCAAAATATCGTCGTCTCTCCTAAACATTAAAAAAAATAATATATATATATATTTCTTCTTTATATATATATATATATTTATATATATTTCTTATTTATAATATTTGCCGATTTAAGGCTGGAATTATATCACCCAGAACTTCGACCACACTAATTTAAATGTCAGACTCCATTTTCCCTTTCTCTCGAATCTTTCCATTACCATTTCAATGTTAATTTTAATGTCTAAATGAACGGGTGAAAGTGCCGCACTTCTCCCGTGTACTATGAAGCCATGGTTTTAACCGGCAAAGACTTGTAAAACTTCTTCCTGAAGCAACGCTTGAAGCTTGAAGTGGGGCAAAAATGCCGAAATGTTTTTACAATGGAAGATTCACGTTGCACACAGGACTATTGCTATAATACTTTAAATCGATCATAAGTCAGATTTATCGACTTTGTTAAGCCTCTTTAAACATATTATGGGCATTCATGTAAACGTACAAATTCCCCGTAACCCTCCTAAATAACCTGGTTTTCCATACAAAATAAATTAAGTTTACGAGGCTTACGTGGTTACGATGCGTTTACGTATTTAAATGAAATTACCTATAATTTTTTATAGCGCTGCTTTTGTTTGAAATGCTTGAATATAAAATTTAATCCAAAAAGAACTCAAATATAGTTCTGCAAATTAAGGAAACGAAAGACTTAACACACGAACTTTTTTTTTTTTTTTTTTTTTTTTTTTGCCCAGATAATGCAAAATAATTGACAGTTAAACCTAATGGTAAAAAACCAGGATGTTAAAATGATCCAAGATTCGTCTGGCTTTTTAAAATGGAATGAATGGTATCCGGAAACTGACTCAAATTTTAGTATTTGATATAGTAATGATCCTTCATGAATCTTCTCGATGCAGCATCGACATTGTTTTTTCCCCCATAGGAATAACACGTAAGAAAATGATTTGTTCTTTTTTGAGGTAAGCATAATTTTCCGCTAGAATGAAAGTTAAAAGCCTGGCAAACGCAACAGAGTGGCTCGTATATTTCAGAATTAGTTTCATTAAAATCACCTGCACCACTTCAAGTGCAATGAACAAATTATAACGGCATTATCTGTATCCATCTCATCGTGGTAAGACATAGTCGACATCATAAAAAGTCTAACTAAGCACAATCAACAAATAAATACACTCAACTCAATGCGATATGCACAACATTCCAGTTAGTTTGTATAATTTACAATTCGATGCGCATACAATTCTTACTACTTTGTAGCTTTATTTCATTTTCTAAAGTACTCTAAGCCCATTTACTCTTTCAGCTAGTTTTCCATTACCTCTGCCAACAACAAACACTTTCTTTTCTTTCGACAATTCCACAAATGGATATTTGCATATCTACAAATGAGCAAACGAACATAAATATGTACATACGTACACATGTACACACCAAAGAGTACGTGCATATGTACATATGTATGGTAAGTACTTGCACTTGCTTACGCTTTTGCAGGTTGGCATTGTTAGAAGTGTGCGTTAAATACAATTTCATTTGTTTCCACTAAAAACTGTCACTCTCTAAGTTTGGTAGCTTAATATGTTACAAATGTCACTTTGCCAAGCATTCAAAATACTTTTGTACTATTGAATTTGTACGTATGTACGTAAGTATTAATGTATGTGCGTTAGGTTGGTCCAAAAATACATAGGAAAATCAACTTTTTCATTTTTCCTGTAAATATTAACCGACTTCAAAATCCCCGGCGGCACGGGTAAATTTCAATTGATTTCAAACTACAAAATACATGTCTACTTATTTTCGATATTCTTCAGATTTGGGTGTGGCTGGAGGAAAAAAAAATTGGGCAACCCTAATGTACATATGTATGTAAATGTGTCTACTTGTGAATCATAAGGCATTTCACTTTTGTCGACAATAACCAACTCTATGATTGTAGAATATATTGCGAACTATTATGCTATGCGTTGACATTTTGAAGGGCGTTTTAAAGATTTCTAAAGTATTTGGTCCGTGCTGCCAACACTGGACTGGTTCAGCACCTAGTACTAGTATTCAATCTCTTCTTTTTATAATTTTTCAAAAATAAGTTTCTGATATTTGAAACCTTCAGTGACTAATATGTAGACTGCGGATTTTTATGCAAAATACGGAGCCTAGAAATATGTACCACAATACTATAAGCAAAGTGTATCAATTTGCATACATTTTGTTTTTGCTTATAGTTATGTGGTATATATTTTTAGGCTTCGTATTTTGCATAAAAATTCGCAGTCTTCTAATTTGTATACGTACAAAGACAGAGGTTCATATGTACATAGACCGAAAGCCAGAAGCTTTTAGGAGGAAATATTTTCACATGCCAAAGGATGACGAGACAATCTTTAAAAGGAACTTAGTCTCTTAGTTAATCTTATACAACTGGCATTTTCTAGAAAATATAAATTGCATTTTGTTTGCTGAGTACTTATGAACAATCTACAAATATAAGTCTGTGTAGTATTAGACTGCTTTGCAAAAAACAAAGACTGCCATTTGAAAGCTTTCTTCAGGAGGATTTCGATATGATGCAAGATTCCGCCTGAGCAATTGATATCAGAAAGGTTGTTCAAATCAGGGACCGCGAACAAAAGATCATAGATCATAAATCATAGATCATATCTAAACCTAGTATATCCAACAAGGTGTGATTGACAACTCAGTAAAGCTTACATTTATGGTACTATCACGTCAATTCAATTTGGCATTATAGGATCAATCACACTTTGTTAAAAACATTTTCATCGAAACTAAATTTCGTTCTCGTAGTTACAATTCCCAAAAACGCTTCAAAGCCAAATCCACAATAAGAACAAAGCCATCGAAAACGTTCTCAATGGGAACTATATATGATCAAAATCCAGTGGAACGTTTTCAAAGAGGAAAAAATGCGAAAAATACATTCGGGAACATTTTTAAGGGAACAAAATGGAAACAAAAGTCTCCGGAACGTTTTGAGAATAACTAAACGGAAATAAAAGTCTCAGGAACTTTCCCTCAAAAGGAACTATCTGAGAGAGAACGAAACGGCAACAAGTCTTCTCGGACCATTCGCAAAGAATGGAAGCGAGAACAAAATTTTTCACAATTGCAATGATTGAAATTAATCCAACAAGAACTGAAAGATACTAATTATGTAGATTATGTCAACGAAAGACTTAGGATATGAAATGGTTCCATAATGTTTCAGGCAAAATCGATAATAATATTGCAAAGTCTATTAGAAACTCGATAGAAATATCGCTAAAAATATCCATAACAAAATCGATAAAAATATCGATAAAAATATCCATAACCAAATCGAAGATATCAATAAAAAAATCGATAAATATCGATAAAAACATCTATAACAAAATTGATAAATATCGATAACAAAATCGATAAAAAATTTCAAATAAATAAAAATGTCGATAAAAATTTCCATAACAAAATCGGTAAAAATGTCGATAACAAAATCCATAACAAAATCGATAAACATCGATAACAGAATCGGTAAATATCGATAACAAAATCCATAAATATCGATAATAAAATAGTTAAAAATATCGATAACAAATCGATAAAAATATCGACTATTATATCGATAAGTTCCGAAAATATCGATGGCCAAATTGATAAAAATATCGATAACAAAACCGATAAAAATATCGACTATTTTATCGATAAATCGTGAGAATCCAGAAAA